GACCTCGTCGCCCTTCTTGAACTTCCCGAGGTTCTTGCCGTTCTTCTTGGATTTCTTCACCGGCAACCCCTTCTCCTCCGCCCCCGCTGCCGCTTTCTTTTCCGCCTCGAGCTCCTCCTAAANTCCTCCTTTCGGCAGGCCGATGAGAACGGCGGTGGGGCCAGTCGTCGTCGTGGTCGTTGGTGTGCATGGGAGAAATATTGGCGCCTTCATGGTCGGAAGAGGGAGGAGAGTCGTTGCCTACAGCAGGGTCCGCAGGGGGCGAAGGGGCCTTCCGAATCGTGCCGTCGGCGTTCCTTGGCAGCTTGCGCTTACCCTTTGGGCGACCCATGTGCCCGGAGCGCGTGTGCGTCTTTCGTTGCGTGCGTAAAGGGTGTGTGCTTTTATTATTAGCATCGACCGCGCTAACCGGCTGACCAATGAAAAGACGTCAGTCTCAGTGCGGCGGGAAACACAAAATAATGTTTCTTATAAGTCCACTATCTGGGACCCCGGGACCGAGCGTCGTAGGGGGAGCTACGCTATTCTCAGGATTAAAGACAGATACCGTAGGCGCCATCCGCAACTGACCGTCATGAATTTTTGTTGGCGGGGGGATGGTGATGAACCATCCCCGGCTAAGGTCTGAATTTTTTTTTCGTGTGTTGGTAGTGCCCGATTCCACCACCCGTAGAGGTTTGGAGGGAAAATAGGTGTCTAGTGCCTGGGTTTCATTCAGTTTTGTTGTTTCCACTAGGGAAAACTTTCAAAACGCCAGGAAGCGGGGGTGGCCCGAAAAAATTCCCCCCCTCTTAAATAGCTCTGATTGGGCTGAAAATTTCAGCATGGGGTAAAGGAGGGTGGAGAGTTGCGAATCCGTCGTCAGATTTTCCAAATTCATCGATGGCACCGAGTTACAGCTATCCCAATACGCCAAAAAGGCGGGGATGGAAGGCTACCATCCCCTCCCCTTGAAACCTCAAAAAGCCGGTTCTAAGAGCTACAAGTCTTAGTACCGGGTAATTTTGAGGTGGTGGGAATCACGAATCTTGAATCAGAATGATCCACTTCGCTCTTGGTTTTGAGAAACAGGCGTGGGAAATTGACGTATTCCTGAAGGATTCAGCACAATCTCGTTTTTTGTGCATCCGTTGTGCACAATTTCAAAAAAAAATGAAATTCCGCCGCAAAAAAAAGCGTTTCATTTTTTTTTTCCCCAGAAACCCAGATAAAATGCGGAGGGTTATCTTTTTTGGAGAGAATGTGTTCAACACGATTTCGAGAGGCATGGGCAAATCCGCTGTGATTGGCTGATTGAGCAGATGTGCCGAGCTCGTTCCAATTCTGATTCCTTCAAAATTTATGGCTGGAAGACTGAATGTTAGCTTCTTGGCTGGCCCAGCTTGTAAGAGCTATAAGTCTCAGTACCGGGTAATTTTGGGGTGGGAATCACGAATCTTGAATCAGAATGATCCACTTCGCTCTTGGTTTTGAGAAACAGGCGTGGGAAATTGACGTATTCCTGAAGGATTCAGCACAATCTCGTTTTCTTGAAATCGACCGGCGCACCTGAGTTTTTGTCTGATCAACTTTCTGAGTGGCTCTACCCCCCCTAAATCGACCAAGCGGAATCGAATGCCGAGGTGAACAACGAAAACAAATATCGGCAACACGACGAAAAAAAAAACGAAAGCAATCCCGAACCGATTTTTTTTTGTTCAACTTTTTAGACGCCGGTTTTGAGCGTTTGAAAGCGAGACAAAAAAACGATTTCTGAAAATTTCGTTTTTTCAGCTGGGGAGAGCCCATGGCGATCAGTTGCGGATCGCGCCTATGGTTTGTACTTTCCTACACATTCAAATCCCAACACACCGGGTGGGTTACCGTATATGACACAAGATAACACACCCCCTGGACCAATTTTCAAAGCTCGATTATGCGGCAACGAAGAGGATGCATAAATGAAACAATACATTTGCGGAAAGCTCTAGACGAGACAGCTTCAACTCCACCATTTTCCGCGCTGTAACTCTTTCTGCTGTCGAGAAATCGAGATTTGAAAATCGGTCCAGGGGGTGTGTTATCTGGTGTCATTTGCGGTAGTAGTAGACCGGCACTGCGAGAAAAATAGAGTATAAGCGCACACATGTCACATCTTTTGGCGGAGAACGCTTGCGCGTTGCCGATGGATCAAGCACGAACGATCAGTACCTCGAGCGGAGCTCAATTCGTGAATGTGTGGACAAAGGGGTACCGGCTCTCCGGCCACCGCGCTGCTATAATAGGGAAAAGCCGGCACGTTGTGGAGCCGTTCGTTGAATGCACCACGCTAAGAATGCATCGCCAAGGCGAATCTCCCACAGCCAACGGTAGACTTAGTTGGCGCAACTCAACAAGTATAAAGCTCATGTTATCCCGCAACCGATGGACCCCAATTTCCGTAGAGATTTATGCCCCATACCCCGCCATGATACACTAAATATTCTGTTGCGTGTCGAGAACAGAGAGAGCCAGGCGCGCCCAGCACACAACAGAAAAGAAAACATGAACCGGGAGCGAATGAAGCGGATGATGCGAAACACGCACATCTTTCTCTCAAGCCGAAGCTATCGAAATTGAACGTTCGATGCCGTTGTCCGTGCTCTCCGTTTGGCGGTCCCGATTTTGGGTTGGCCGTGGGGAGCTTCGATCAAGCAAATAGTTCATCTTCCCATCCGTACGAAGCCAGGGAGTGCTGAATGTGTCGGGGGTGGGGGGGTTGCCTAGTCAAGCCGACCCCTACCCCCGCTGTAGGTAGGAGTGAAGAGGGCTTCGCGTTTAAACACGTTATTGTGAAACCCATGCTGGTATGCTTCATACCTAGCGCGTGTTGTCGCAAAATTTTACGTAAAGCTGATCACAAACCATTATTCTTATCCCGGGGTCCCGGGTGCTGAATGATTTCCACGCGATGAGGGTGCTGAACGATTTCCACGCGATGACTACCCCCCTCCCTCCCCCGGCAGCAGGGTATACCAGCGAACCATCCCGCTTCGCCCCCTCAATGCCATCCGACTTTCGCAAAACCTTGTACTATTCTATACAACGCGTATCTAACGCGGACACAAAACCTTCATGGTCTTCTCTCTAGGTGAAAATTAGTAAACTTGCGTTATGTTACTGAGCCAAAACACTGGACATTAGTAAAACACACACGGCGCGCATGACACAATTGCGACCACAATGTTACACCTTTGAAATTACGGCGTCGGTAACTCGCCTATGGAATATCTTATGCACAGATACCATCGCTGATACACAACATCGCATCATCAGCGCGTAAAACATGTCAGGTACACCTACCTCTTACATACGGGTGAATGGCTTCGCATGCAAACGTTGCCGGCCCAAACTTCCTAACCAAACCACACTTGGACTTTTGTCGATCAGTTGGCGCCGTCCGAGCAAACCGAAACAACACGTTCGTCCTGCTACAACAGGTTTAGGAGGCTTCCATGCGCTACAAAATTTACATAGAACTGTCCCAGACACGTATCGAAGTTACAAACGCAGGCAACACAGTTATTTACTTGCTACGTTTTCACGCGAAAGTGCTCCCGGTCGATAGCGCTGGAACAATCTAGGCGTCCCCGACTCAAAACCCGCCCCCGAACAACTTAGAAGGTGGATTTTTGTCGGTCCAGCTGGCTGAATGCCTCTCTCTGGCCAGCCTTCCAGTCGCCGCGAACGACTACGCTTTCCCTGCGCGGCGCTGCTTGCGGCAGCGGCAGCGTCGACGACGTCAAGCAGCTCGACACCCCGGAGGCACGGGTCGTAGACGACATGCCGGAAAGCACGGACGAAAAGGAATTGTTGTTGTCACTGTCCAACTCGTCGTCGTCGTCGTCGTCTTGGCCACTCTCGTCTTGTCCCTGGACGATTTGGCCGCCGCCGCCCCCGCCGCCCCCGCCGCCGTCGGAAAAATCCGCCGCAAGCGGAGCTGCAACAACGGCTGGAAGTTTTCCGTCAACGGTGTCTCGTGCTACTGCCGGTAGCTCCGTACCCTTAGGGTTCAAAGGTTCAGCACTGGACTCAGCAGCAGCAGCAGCAGCAGCAATTTTCTCGCCACGAGCGCCACCGCTTGGCCGGCGCCGTGGGGCCGTTTGGGGTGGGAATACGCCGCCGGGCGGGGTGATGGTGTAGCTGTGCCCGTCCTCGTCTACAACGCCGGCACGCGCCGGAGGAACAGTGGCGGCGGCGGCGATGGCGGCGGTAGTCGTGGCAGCCGCTGCCTCCTCTCCTCGCTGTGCCACGTCGGTCGACCACCGTCTCTTGACGTCACCGGCGCTGCCCTCGCGCCCTACCTCCGCCGGCTGCCTTCTGGCGCTTTCGTAGTGGACGGTCGCTCGCCGTACAACCCCCCCCCCCGGCCTGATCTCCACGTGGCCCTCTTTGTCCTGGTCGAGGCTGGTGATGACCGACCGCATCTCGGCTTTCAAGTATGACATCGAGCTGCGGTTGGCGCCAGTCGCTGTCTCCAGAGCAGCCTCGAGCTGTGCGACCTTGACCCTCAGCGAGGACAACTCCTCGGCCGCCCGGGCGCGCAGGGACGCCTCCACCCGAAACGCCGCCGTGCTCTCGGACAACTCCTTCCGGAGCGCTGCGAGATCTCGCTGTTCCCGCTCGCGGGAGCGGGCTGTTCGCTGATGTTCCTCCTCCTTCCCCTTCTCGTAGCCCCGCTCGGTTGCCTCGGCTATCGACGACGCCTTGTCGTCTTCCTTTGCCAGCATAATCTCCTCCCGCGTGGCCTTCTGCTCCGCCTGCCACTTCCCGCGTTCCCGCTCCATCTCAGCCTGGAGCGACTCTCGAAGGCGCGTGGCTTCCTCGCGCAGCCCGGCGACCTCTCGCTCGTGTATCGCCCCCGTCTCCGCGGCCTTCTTCAGCTCCGACGCAAGCGCCGCTTCCAAGTCCCCCGTCCTAGCCTCCAGGACCTTGCACTCCCTCTCTACCTTCTCCCGCCGTTCCGTCTCCCTCTCCATCCGTCCCGACTCCGCCCCGAGCGCCTCTCTCTCGCCCTGCTGCCGCTGCACACGCGCAGCCTTCGTCTGCCGGTCAAGCTCGGCCTCCAGGCGCCTCCTCTCCTTCTCCGACGACGCCAGGGCGTCCAACACCTGCGCGACGTCGGTATCGATGTCCCGCGCCTCGGCCCTCGTGGCCACCAGCTCTCTCTCGAGGCGATCCCGCTCGGCGGCGGCATCGGCGGCGGCCGTCTCCGAAGCCCGAGAAAACTTGGCGCTCAGGTCGCGGAGCTCCGCCGTTGCAAGGCGAGCCCGTTCCTGCGACCTGGCGCGCTCTTCCTTCTGCTTGGCAACCTCAGAAGCGAAGGCTCCCGATGCTAGGGAGAGCTCGGCGCACCGGCTGCGAAGCTCTCGCTGCGTGGCCAGGGCGGCTTCCAGGCGAGCCTGCGTGTCGGAGAGCGCCGCTTCCGCCTCGGCCAGCCGATCATTCGCCGCGGCCGACGCGGCTTCGCGCGCTTCGTTACGTTCAGTCTCCAAGCGGGCGACGTACGCTTCGAGCGCCACAGCCTGTCGCGAAATAAAAAACAGGGGGGGAAGTAGAGGTTAGCGATGCTCGGTTTCTAGGAGATTGTCGCGATGTATGGTGAGAACTGTGCGCACGATCACCTTTTGGAGCCGCGCAAGCACAGAGGCAAGACTCGATTAGGCTGCGCCATGGGTAGCACACAACACGCAGGACTTGTGCCGCCCGAGGGTCTCGTTACTCCGCGCGCGACATGATGCGCCGCTCAAGATCTGGGAGCTTGCCGCCAACACCACGATGGCGCACCAGGAGCATCAAGCACCGAAATCGCGACTCGATGTGACAAAACAACCGCGCTACCTCAGACATCTTTTCCCTTAGGAGCCCCTGGATCTTGGTGAGCTCTCCAACGGCTGCGCTGAGCTCGTCGCTCAGCCGCGACTTCTCCGCCTCCAGCGCTTGCGCCTCCGCCTTCATTTTGACAACCTGCTGCTCGAGGCACTCTACCTCTTCGCGCGTGGGACCATCAAGCCCTCCCGCCGTTTGCGTCCCGACCGTTGGTGCGGTCGCACCGGCCACCCCGAGAGAATCCCTGGTGTCCTCGAGCGCCCCCTGGACCTCGCCCGCGGCCAGCTGAAGCAACCGCTTCACGTTGCCGCTCATGCCGCGGAGCTTCGACGCCTGGGCCGCCAGCTCGTGGACGTGCGCGTCCGTCGACAGCGAAGACGTCGCCGCCGATGTCGGTCGCTCTCCGGCCGCTGCTGCCAAGTCGGCCGGAGCAGCACTGGGGGTTTCCTCGGTAGCTCCCGGGTGGCTTTCTTGCGTCGCGGCGTCCGGTTGGTGGTGATGCTTCGGAGCTGGTGCCGCAGCGTGGTGAGTTGCGGGCGTGGCGGTGTCGCTGGGGTCCGCAACGGCGTTGTTGTGACGTTGCCTGTGAATCCTGAGAAGGAGTTCCTGGGACAACTTGAGCGCCTCGAGAGCCCCCTGACGACAGATCCGAGGAAAACAAAGACAGAATACATCGACGCGATCACAAGTTGAGTCTTGACATGCATAGCAACAAAGAACACCTCCAAAAGAACGGGGGCGGGGGGGGGGTATACCACACGCCTGGTTTAAGGATTGGAGGGCATTCTTCGCTGACAGCTTCGTGAACAAAACTAATACGTCTATTTCTTGAACACTCTGACGCCGGAACTTTGTCACGCCATACCATGTCTGCCACACACCTTAAACTCCCTTCGGGCCTGGGCGCTAACGCGTCGAGAAGCCGCCACCAGCTCCTCCAGCGTAACGATGCGGCCCTTAGCCTTCTCGTACTTGGCGCGCAGCCTCTGGAACTCGCCCTCGAGCACCGCCACGGTACGGGGGGGGGACGGGGGAGAACCCACTCCCGCTGCTGCGGAGTCCCCCCTCCCGCTCTCGCCAGCACCGTTCGGTTTCGAAAAGCCCTCCCCTCTTCTGCCATTGCCAACACCACCGGGTCCCTCAACCGCCACCACCCCCGGCGGGGCAACATCGCAGCTGCGACGTTCCTGTTTCGTCCTATCCACCTCCTTCCGGAGATCATCCAGCTGCTGCCGCAGAGCTTCCATAGCGCCTCGCGCTTCCGCGGCCACCGCAGCCTCGGCCTCCCGCTTTGCCCGCGCCTGCTCCTGCCTAAGCGCCGCCGACAGATCCGCCACCTTCCCGTCTAGCACCGTCGCCGCAGCGCGCGCGGCGTCCTCGCTGGCCCGGAGACGCTCGGCCTCCTCGCAGCGGGCGGTAAGCTCGGCTTCTAGACGATGCCGCTCCTTCCACACGCCTTCCACGAACCCCGTCTGTTCTCGGCTCAACTGTTTTTTGGGGGTAGCGCAGGCGAAAGACGGGGTGCAAAATGCTTGGAGCGTGAAAAAAGGAGAGAGGGAATGAAAGGTGGTGGACCAATGCACACGGCTAAGAGCCGAGCAAACCAACCAATGACACGGGGACATTTAAAACAATGAAGCGCGAGCAAACGGCCCGGGGCGACATGTGCTTTTGGTTGGCTCCTTCCCACGACAAGGCGTCTCTCACACCGACCTTGAGGAAGCTTTCACTGAGACATCGACGGTGTGATTTTGTGCGCTTCGCGGTGTGTTGCGTGTGCCTTCTCGTCCTATATATTATGGCGACAGTCCCCGCATTCTTTCGTGGTGAGACGTAAACTACACTGTTCAGCGTATGTAGTGTAGAGTACTACACTTTTCAGTGTCTTCTTTCGTACAACTACAACCTTCCAGGGTCACACAGGAAGATGTACACACCAGGGCTTTTTCGTTATTTTCGTCCCCACTTTCCTCCGGCGGTGCGTGCTGAATTTTTGTTTTTATCGCGAGAAGGGTCCAGCCGTCCCTTTACCTGATCGACGGTGCTAACGTCCAAGTTTGGTACTCACGAGAGCTTTTTTCCAGCTTTCTTTCTCCTTCACCCGCAACTCTTGTAAATTTTCCACCCCATGGGGATTCGATCTCGCGACCGTTGCGACTAGCGGTTGTCGATGATACCACTAGACCACGGGGGCGGCCGCATCTCTCCGTGTTACGGATGGGAATCTGTGACCCCATCTCGATCGGCCAGACTGACAGCATTCCCGTGTGCTTTTCATTCAAGGCTTTTCCCAGGTGGAGTCCCTCTTGGTGGTACCGTCCGACCCAACGTGGCGGAGGTTGCCTGCTGCCTCCAAAATTTCGTGCGAACGCTGAAAACCATATTCTAATGCATTGAAACCATCTTACGAGTAAAAATGCCTCGACATGTACCGAACCCGAGCCATCACTGGAACGAGGGCCGCGAGCCTAATAAAAATTGACATGTTCGGCCAGCTGTCTGGACTACCCGCCCAGCTGGCTGACTGACCCAACTCACCTCCCTGCTCTCTTCGAGCCTGGCGGTCACCTCGGCCTCGCGACTCTCCGAGTCGCGCAGGTCCCGCCGCAGGCTCGCCGCCGTATCCTCCGCCGCCTTCCGCTCCTCTTTACGCGCACTCAGGAGCCTGGCAGCCTCGAAACGAAGACGTTCCGCGACCTCACGGACCTTCGCCCGAGACACAAGACGCCGCAAATCGTCGCCTTCTCCTCCACTCTCCGCACGATCTCCGAAGTCGTCTTGTCGGAGATCGGCGTCTCCAACCCCGCTGCGGTTACTGTCCGCCGAGAACGCTCTCCTTCGCCTGTTGCCGCGTCTTCGCCTGGAGCCCGGAGCCGCCGCAAGCGAACTGCGTTGTTCGTTGGCGTCGCCCCCCCTCCTTCGCCTACCGAAGGCCCACCGCGGGTCGTCAAGCTCGCTGTCGCCGTCAGAGCCAGGACGACGACTCGTCCTGCGATCGGCCGCTGCCGCGGACAAGGCGTTCGCTACCCTTTCCATCACGCCGCACGACTCTCGCAAAGCTTCCTGCAGGCCTTCACGGTGCGACCGATCCCCATCGAGACCAAACAAGTAGTCATCGTCCTTACCCCTCGTCCCGCCGCCGCCGCCGCCACCGTTTCGCCTCTTCGTTCTTGAGCTAAAGCCTACTCCCAAGCCAGCCGGCGTCCCCCCGTCTTCGCGATCGCTGACAGCCTGAAGCTTGCGCCTAAGCCGCTGGGCCTCCGCGCGCGATTCCGCCGCCTCTGCCACGGCCAGGGCTACCCGCCCCTCGAGGTCCTTCCTCGCTCTCACGAACGCCGATGCCGCCGCTGCCCCGCCATCATCACCATCGCCGCCGCCGGTAGGGCTCGAGAAGGAAGACGTGGAGCCCACCGACGCCGCCGCCGCTGCAGCCGCCGTCGCCGCTGATGTCGCCGCGTGCTCGAGCTCGGACAGCAGCCTCGACCGCTCCGCGCGGAGCTCGGCGCAGGCTGTTTGTGACGCCACAAGGCCTCGCTTGAGGGTGTCTTTGTCCAGCTGCGCGGCTCGAGCGGCCCTCTCGGCCTGAGCCTTCGCCCTCGCCTCCGACGCCGCCAGCTCCGCTTCCGCCGCTTCCCTCGCGGCGGCAAGCTCGGCCTTGAGCGAGGCGTCGGCGTGTTCAGCCGCTTGTCGCGCCCCTTCCCTCGCCGCCGCAAGCTCGGCCTTGGCTTCGCGAAGGCTGGCGCGGAGGGAGTTGGCCTCTCGTTCGGCCCCCGCGGCGGTCGCCCTAGCGGTGGCGTCCGAGTTGGCTTTCACCCGACTCATGTCTCCCTCGATCTTGGCGTCCAGTCGGGACACCTACGAGCGCGTTCGAGAGACACGGGCTTGCTGTTGTTGTTGCTGTTGTGGTTGTTCTTGTTGTTGTTGTGTTGTTGTGTTCAACTCATGAGTCGGGGTGGGTCCTACTTATGTATCTTGTGCTGCAAGTTGTAGTCTTCGGTGTGGGGTCATGAGGGCACAGCAGTGTCATCAAGGGGTGATGATGCAAGATGACAACAAAAGCTGGCAGCAGGACCAGGTGTCAGCTGTCAATTGGTTGTGACGTTTCCCAACCTCAGCAGCTCAAACAACTGGCGTGTTTTGGCCAGAACAGCTGAGCGAACGTCAAACGAACCAGAAAGAAAAACGTACAAATCCGTATACAGTCTTCAGCCAGAAGTTGTAGACAATTTTCAATTTCCGAAGCCTTTGTGTCCAATATTTGGCACGAGCGCCGAGTCCTCTTCTAGACGCGGTAAAGAATAACACACAGCCGCACTAGAAACGAGTATCAAGGTCTACGTGTGATTGCGCACGCGCAAGCTGTTTTCAAGACCTGCGAGGGTTTCGCCCACCCACAAGAGCATATTGCCCAAGAGTGACGGCTGCGTGGGCATCGGAAGCAGAAAAGCCAAGGTAATCAGCACCAAAATAGCGTATAATAATCAAGAAGCGTTTCAGCAAGAAACCAGCACGCCGACCGAAGGGCTTTGCTGCTTGACGCGACGGGAAGCCCGACACCTTGCAGCAGCTACAAAAAGTAGCAGCAGCTAAGCGATAACCCAATTTTTGCAGGCGTGCAAGAACAAAAGGTCGAGAGAAGAACACGGCCGGCACCTGCTTCCGCACGAGCGATATCTCCTCCTCCTGGACTTTCCGACGGGCCTCGCTTGCAACCAGCTCTTCCCCTAGAGCCGCCGCCCTCTTGGATTCCCTGTCGAACCGGCCGCGCTCCGCCTCTTGCCCCTCGCGCGCCAGCACCAGCGCTGCGGTTAGGTTTGCGACCTCTGCTACCGCCGAGTCGCGTTCGCGCCGTACCGACTGTTTTCGGGGGGGGTTGTCATGTAAACGCATGCCGCAGTGGTTAGACCGTTGACCTCGCATCGGGGGGGATATCTGTCTGTGAATGCACAACACTTCGTATAGAGACGATCCATGTTGTGAAGGCAGTCGCAAGTCCTCAACAGGGCGGGATACATAGGGAGGGCGACACATTGTGGTACTGATAGAGTACTCAATTCGTTTTTATCACTTGAATTGGGCAGGTGGCCGCTACAGGGCGGGTGAATCCGCCGAACACACACCCGCCCCACAGTGGAATGCCCACCCTTGCTGTGTACCGAGTTTGAGGAGAACACGTCGTAGGTGTAATGCGAGCAAAAGTATGACAGGATTGCAGACATCCAAGAACAGGAAAAGCAGAACCGTGCTCAAACCTGAAAGTCGGAAAGGGGTGTGGGACTTGGCCAGGGCTGGTGACCTTTTCTTAGGGCGGGGGGGGGGGGACGGCTCGAAGACGCACGAAAGCAATTCCCCCCATCCCCGCCACTAAAAAAAGATGTGCGTGTGTCTGCAAAGCAGCTTCCGATATTATGAGCTCGCCTGAATCTCCTCTGCAGTTGCCGACAACGAAGACAGTCTCACGTGCAACCTTCCGGCCTCGGCCTCCGCCTCCGCCAGCTTTTCCACCGCTTCGGTACGCTCGCGAACAGTGGCCTGACATGGCAACAGGTTATCAAAGGACAACAGCGTAGCAAAGATCCACGTAAAATTACGACCAGAGTACTTCAACACGCTCAAAACCCTTGAGATGGCTTTCAACGTGGATAACTGCTATCCCCCCCCCCAGATAACATTCGCTCGGTGCTCGATGAAAACCAGTATGCCAAAGTCCTGAGTACCACAATAGGCACTTTCAATATTCTCTTGGACAAAATAATGGACACATTGAGGTGGTCAGGATAGTCTCTTCCCTCTACACTTAACGACAGGGAGCTATAGCAGTGGCTGGCACCGGAGCCATCTTACACGGCGTTCGTACATCCTGACACAACTACAGTAATAAACGATGACACTTGTGCACAAGACACAACAGGACAAAAAACACCCCTGAAAAAAATGAACACCTCCCCCCCACCCACCCACCCCCACCTCTAGCTCGAGGGCCACGCGTGCCGCGCTCTCCCGCTCGGCCTCCAGGCTCTCCCGCAAAGCCGCCGCCTGCCGACGGCTCTCCTCCTCTGCCGCCCTCAGCTCCGCCGAGGCTTCCGCGTCCCTACGCGCACGCTCCGCTGCCGCTTGCGCCGCTTGCGCCGCTTGCGCCGCTTGAGCCGCTTGAGCCGCTTGAGCGGCCGTGGCGGCACCGGCCTCCTCCTCCGCGGCCGCGGCTCTCTCCCGCGCGCGCCGAGTTTCCTTATCAGACGCCTCCAGCCGTGCTCGCAAGGACGCATTGCTGCCCTGCGGTGTTTCGATATGTAGAAAGGCGCCATCTAGATACGTTGCAGTCTGACTGCGTGTGGCATCGTCGTACCGGACTGTCGGCCTCACAGAAGCGCAGGACGTCAACTTGCATAAGCCCGCGGGCAGTCACAATTGTTGCTCTAGCACAAGGTCGAGAACCCTAGAACCCTCTCAGAATCTTGCTTCTGAGAACGTAATTACCGGAGGGGAAGAAGCCTGAAATGAAACTCGCTAGCTGGCAACATTACGGTAGACACATGCAAGCTACCAACCGACCAAACCACATTGTCCACCCTCGCGATTCATGCGAGATGAGTCGAACTGGACGGTAGGTGCGGATCGAGGAACCACGGTACCTCGACACAACACATCTGCGAACAGGAGCATAAGGAGGAAACATTGCCAGCTGTTTCCACCTCTTCAGTCAGACTTCCATTTTGCAAGTCAGCACGGCTACTGCAGTCGCTATTCACCCGCTCCTCTCTTCCAGCGAAGCCGAAAACTAGAATATTTGATTGTATCGCCATGGGCACAACAAAATCACACCCACCTGCTCCTCCGATAGCTCTCCAGTGGCGGTCTCCAGTCTGTCCCTCAGCCGGGACACCTCGGCCTCGCGCTCTCGCAGTCGCTGTACCGTTTCGGCGAGCGAGTCATCGGCGGCGGCGGCGGCGGCGGCTCTTTCTCTCTCCGTCGTCTTGTCCTTGCTCTTCTCCCGCTGTGCTGCTGCCGCTGCAGCCGCTGCTTCTCTGGCGCGGTGCCGCGAGAGCTCGGCCTTTGCAGCGTCTGCCTCGGCCCTCGCTTCGGCCAGCTCGGCTGCCTGAGCGTTGCGCTTGCGCTCGGAGCGACGTAACCTTGCGGACACATCGCTCAGGCTGTTGGCCTTTCAATTTTCGTGGTGCGTCAGGGGATGCGAGGCCGGCCGGAGGGCCGGGAGAGAAAACAAGAGGAAAGACAGAGAGAGAGGGAGATGGAGGGAGACAGACATAACAGGAGAGAGATGAGGGAGGAAGCGATATGGGGGGCATACGTTTGTGCAGGTGTTACACCTTTGGCCACCCGTCCTTGGAGAGGACGGAGCACTGTTCCCATGGGAGGAAGCCGGAGGGGGAACAGAAGAAAAGCACCCAGGAAGACGAATCACGGCCCACGGAGAAAAGGCCTGCCAAGGTAGAGTCATGGACATACGGTAACACTGGGCCCCTCCGGTAGGCCAACAACGAAACACAGACCATGTCACGAAGAGGACACCGCAGGCTCTCCGGCTGAACTCACCATCGCTTTTGAGTCATCGCGAGCACGTCCCACCTCTAGGGCACGTTGTTCCAGCACCGCCCTCATCCGCTGCAGCCCCTCGTGAGCAGAGGCCACCAGCGGCGACCCGCTCGCCGCGATAATCGCGCTGTCTTTAGAGACGGTGACGGTCGAACCTTGCTGCCGCGGCGGCGGCGGCGGCACCAATCGTCGCGAGCTGGCAAGCTCGTCGTCCGATGGTCGTCCCGGGGTGGCCGCGGTACGGAAGGATAACGCGGTTCCGGGGAGAGCGGAATCCGCGGGTTGCCGCCGCAGCAACACACCGCCGACAGCCCCGCCGTGCTCCGTGCGGTGGGGTCGAAACGCCTCTTCGTTGATCTTGTCAACGCTGGCACCGCCTGCACGGTTTCCGTCGGAACCCCCACCAAGAAAAGCGCTCCCGTCGCGCGATTGCAAGTCGCTGTCGTATGTGTTGGCACCGCTTGCATCCTTGCCATGGCCGCGGTTACGTCGGAACGCGAACGACGTGCTCCTTCGTGCATCGCCGCTCCCCAGAGATGAGGAAAGGTTCCGGAAACCCCTTGCGCTTGTGGCGACGACGGAAACGTCCCGTTTGAGCCGGAGGAGGTCTTCCTCCCTCGACCTCAGCGCATCCCGTAGCTCGAACAAAGGGCCGGACTCCGCCGCCGCCGCCGCCGCCGTCGCCATCCCGTCCTCCGTCCCTGCCACCGCCGTCCGAGCATCACCGCTGCTTCTGCTGCCGCTCGCCGAGCGTTTTCGCCGAAAGCTTTCCCATGCACCGTCTCCGCTCTCTACGACCGAGGCCGACCTCGTGGAACGTATCAGGGGCGACAACAATAGCAAAGGCTCCGCAGAAGCGGTTCGGCTGACTGCTGTCGGCAAGGACGGTTCCCTATCGCCCCGCAATCGCAGCAGATCCACTTCTGGCGTCTCCCCCCGGGCTCCTGGCCCCCGCCCGTCATCCTTCTCTCCCGCGTCATGCGTCAGAACCGGGGTTACTAATGCCCGTTCTCGTCGCGCTTCACCCGGGCTACTTGGTAGACTAACATCGTTCGCTCGCCTGCGGCTTGAGCTACCGCTGTGTGTGCTCCCGCTACTGCTCCCCTTGTTGAACAGCCCCTCCTGATCGGAGACTTGCGTCCCGGTGCCTGCCATTTTGCCCCCGCCTTCTGCCGCCGCCGCTATTGCTGTACTACTTTGATCGCCGGCGTCGTCTGGTCTTGGCCTGGCACGCTCATCCGAGTAGTGAGTGCGACTTTTGTCCGCCGACCGAAGCTCGCGTAAGGATAACCGCCCGTCCGAGTACGTTGTCTGTTATTGCAGGCGGTCGACGACGAGAGGTGTGCATGCTCAGAGAGGTGCAGCAAGGGGGGAGCATGCAATATGCAGCGGCTCCAAGCACACGCCTCTTTCCTCGAGATGATTGCAGGCAACGACTGGAGTGCGCGACATGCCTTGTCAATAGAGTTTTGCATGGAAAACTCCAACGTCGACAACAATGGCATCCGATTGGCCATATGCAGCCTCCAATGTATGCCGCGGCTACCTGGTGAAACAGGAGAATCACCGGCGCATGCTTGAACATTAACCCTTGTGCCAACAAATCCACCGCACCCCACTCCAGAAAATCGAATTTAATTGGTGTGTTGGCCGGTACATTGATTTGTCGTTGGCGGGTAAAGCGTGATGGATGGACTGAACCGAACCAATCAGTCTCTCGTCCATCACCTCTGACCTTCGCTCACCCGTTCCAACACCGAGGTATCCACCTCGGCAAAGCTTCCGCTCACGCCGGCCTTCTCCGGCAGCGACTCCCTACGGACCAACCGACGGCGACGATTCGGCGGGACGCTGGTATAACCGGTGTGGTTCTTTGCGGAGTATCGTAAAAGCGCGAGGGATCGCCCTCAGAACTGACGGTGCTATCGAAAACCGACGATGCGTGCAAGGAAAGATAACAGCTCTCGACGAGATCTTTTCTAAGAATGTCCTTTTCCGCGTTGACAACCTCTCAGTTGCGGAGCGATCGAGCAATGAAAGTCGGTCTAGGGAGTGCGCGTTGGCTCGCACCCTTATACGATGACTTCAGAGACTTCCTGTTTACTTCCAATAGCACGGTGGTGGTGACACCAACAGGTGATTCTAACGACAACGACAGCGAGCACGTCACCAACGCAAGCCTCTAGAAGAGTCTCCCAACGTCTACAGCAGTCAAGCACGCAGAGCCGTCCAGCTGCGTAATCTGGACGACTCCCGAGCAACAGCAGTGGCAGCGTGATGCAGCTAAGCAGAACAAAAGTTTGGCCTGCATCGTCTCGTTGGCGCACTATGTAAACGCTGGCCAACTACGGATGGTAGTGCATACGCCATGTACGACGGCATCGTGCGTATCACAAAAAAGTCAATGCACAGGAGGGCACAGAAGCGCACCCCCGGGCCCCGGGAAATACGGCTGCGTTGTGGGACCCCTACCCTCAGTTCTGCATCGCAACCAGCATGACACTCGTGTACCCTACGTACGTACCTCACAAGAGGTCTGCTGTTGTTGCCGAAAGTCGGCTGACCACCGACTCCGTCCCCGGAGGATGAGCGACCGCTTTCCTCGCCAAGCCCAGACGCGAGCATCGACGATGACAGCCCGCCGTCCCACTGCGCGGAGTCGTGGCCAGGTGCCGGCTGCGAGAGGAATCAGGGACCACAGCAAAGCTTGCACTATCGGTTGCGAGACAAGCCGTCGCGCGAGACAAGCCGTCGCCCGGTGGGCCGTGCTCGTGAGGGTTCTTCCAGAGCCAGGCACGGGTGCAACTTGTACTTTCGAGTACAATGTAAGTGCGGGATGGGGCCGTTTGGCGAACCTACTGGACGAGAGCTTGCAGCTGTACCGTACCATACGCGCTGTACAAAGGGTGTCGCTATAAGCTTACCGCGGGGAAACTGCTATCCGTCCCTGCGAAACCATCCCTCAAGCGCTCTACGGCGCGGCCGATAGCCTGGGGGACAGAGACAGAGAGCGAGGCGGGGTGCACAGCAAGTTGACATGTTGTTACGCTGGTGTTTTGTACTAATCCTTGATCACAGCAGACGAGCACGAAGGAGGCACGACTTGACTATCTCGTTTCGTTGGCACACGTACCTCTCTGCCTCTCTTCAGCGAGCGCTTGTGTGAACATCGCAATGTGCGGGCTTTTTGTGCGATAACGGCAGTCGGATTTCAAAATCTACTGCTGTACAACAAAAGTGCGTCGGCCGCACCTGGATATCATCCTTGAAGCTTCTGTTGAACGGACTAGCACGGCCGGCACCACTACCTTCGTTGTCACTAGAAGGGATCCAAGGTCGATCTTCCTCCATAGGTCGACAACCCCGTGCTGCCCAGAAGTGGAAAGGGCTGGAGATAGACACAGCAGGCGGTGCGATGTGTCCCAGGGGGATGGCAGATAAACATCACGACCCCCCCATATGCGGCGAGATTGAGCCGCTCAAGGTCACCACCCGGGTTGCACGCGGTGGAAAAAGCAAAATTGCTAATCTGTCTTTGACTCTTTTCTCTGACGGAGATGGACTCGTTGTGTTGTATTTGGAAAAAAAAAAAAAAAAAAAAAAAA